AGCATACTGATTGCACCTCATCGTGGGGTGGCCTTTCCCACCCTTTGTTTTTTATTATCTCAAAGGACTCTTGGTTGGCGCAGCTAACAGAACATGCACAAGTTTCAGTTTCCATTCTTCCCTGGTAGTATATACTTTGAAGGTGATATCAACCAGCTGGGAGGGATTAAAGCCAATTGCTCCTACTACATCCTGCAGCTTTCTCCTTGTGTCTGGAGTATGCTACTCTATAAAAGTCATGTTAATGACACCCATGTTTTCAGGGGCTTCTGTATCCACATCTGCATATGTCCAATATGTCTCATAGATGCATTCTAGAAACTCAGAGGGATGCTCCTTAGCTTTTTGCTGTAGCTCTTAGACCTTGTTTGAACTCCTCTGTGTAGACACTACTCTCTGGGGGCCTGCCAGAATATACTTTTGGTAATAATTTATTATCACACCGCCTGCGTCAGTATTAGGATGCCAGTTTGGTTCTGCCATTGGGATGACAGAATTGGGATCTGGGGTTCGATGAGGATCCTCAACATGGAGATGCTGTGCCTCCTCCTTGGCCTTGTCCATCACTAGTCTACACTCATCTGCAGTAAGTAATATATTCAGTAAGGTCTGTATGTCCACTGGAGTGGCACATGCCAGCACGAAGATGGTTGTAAACAACTCTGTCATCCTCTGGGGACCCTCTCTATAAGTTGGGTTTCAGGTTTTTCAGTTCAATAAATCCGAGGTGGAAAATGGGCTGCAAGTCTAATAATACCCTGTCACCTCTCCTTGTGCATTCACGGCTCCTATAGGGTGCCGCCGCCATGGAAATTGCCCTGCTCCAGCTATGGGCACCCACTGGCTGAACTGAGTCTCCTGCTGGGTCTTGGAGGGGGACACTTTCCCACTCTCTAGTCATAACCCAGGGGTCAAAGGACTGAGGAATCATTCCCAGCTCTACCTTCCCTGACCAAGGACCCTTCCACCAGTGGTGGAGGGTATAGGGGGGCTGATGGTGGGGAATGAGTTTGGGGGAAGTTTGGATTCATCAGGTTCATGAGGTTTAACCTGGCTAATTCCTCCTCTATCTTGTCTAGTGGGGATTGGCTCCCCTCCCCACCTATATGTGGAAGTTTCCTTTGTACCTTTAACTTTGTCCCAGGCCTTTCACCTTCTTCTTCATGCATAAAAGACTGTACATATGGGATTTCACCCCATTTACCTCATCTTTGACAATATAATTACAGTTGTAAGATAATATAATAATTTTAGATTCCATTCACCAGCCACTTCTTCTCACACCCCAATATGTATGTTGGCCAGGTGGTATTACAATAATACATCATTCTTTCTTCAGACATAGGTGCAGTACATAAGTTGACCATTCAGCCAAAATTCTTCCCAAGGGACTCTTAGATGGAACAGAAATGGAGCCTCCCACAAAACTCACACACAATGAAACACAAACAATATAGGGAATTCCCAACCCAGACAATCTAAAATGCCAAGGCTCCAAATGAATGCCCTGCCATGGGGTTGGAAGGTTCAAAACCCTCTCCAAATGGGTGGAGTCAAGGTGCTTGGTGTGTTTGCTGGGGAACTTACTCAGAAAAATGGCCAAGGCTGTGCAGATGTTTCTAGATCCATTTCCATCTTGCTAACACAGTTTAGGTAGCTAGGAGCTGCATCTGATTCTGGGGAGGGAGTGAAAGAAGCTCCCTTGGGGTTAAACACACTCCAGTAGCTGCTAAAGCAGTTCCTCTCTCTCCCCTGAGAAGACAGTACTTCTAGTGGAGACCCATGGTTTGACCTCGGGTGCTCCCTTCCTCTTCTAGCAATGGCCACAGTCATGGGGTGCTGTCCTGCTGGGGTATTGATGGACCCACCCAGGGATACCAAATTCTGTTATCAAAAGTTTGGCATTTGTCCCAAGGCAGCACCAGAAGAATGAGGACAGGTGGTCTGAGGAGAAAGACAGTGATGTTTATTAATTTGCCAAAAATGAGTAGGTTGTCAGACTCCCATCTTAAAGTACCAACATCCTCCCTCTGAGCAGAAATACAGAGCTTTGAGGGGGATGCCATTTCAGCTTCAAGCTATTGCTATTGAACTATGGTGGATGGTTTTGATTTATTCCATCTTGGGTTAAGATAATCTCGTGACCTCTGCCCTGACAGTTGCTTTGTTTGACACATCTCCTGTGGTACAAAGGACATTCCCCTGCACCTCCTGACATGGGCCTGAGGCGGGGATGCAGGTTTTAATTCCAAAAAGAGTGGGGGAGGTTTTAGAGAGTCATCTTTACTCTTTTTTAGGCCATTCCCTCTGTTACATATAAGCCAAATCCAAACCTTGGGGTCCTTTGGTATCCCAATGCCCCTTTCTCACATAGCTCCTCTCCTCCCCACACTACAAATCAAAGGCTAATTTCCCCTCATTTTCTTCTCTTCAACTCAATACCAAAGTAACCTTGTCTTTAATACCCTGGGCTTGAGGGTTGGGAAAAGGGTTTTGTTTGATTAACATCTGGGGATGTAGCCCTATGAACTTTTATTTTAATGTGGGGGGAAGTTTTCCCTAAGATTTTATACCTTGATTGAATCCTGGTTATTGACTTAGGTTCTTCTCATTACACAAAACTACAAAAGCCAAGCTCCTGTTTGTTAGGCTCAACAAATGCCTTCAAAAACAAAATGGCTTTGATGTGTTTGTATTTCATTTATTTCTGTCAATTTTTACTTTCCCTGGGGAATTTTGATTGGCAACTCCCTTAATAGCTCTTGTTACATCTATGGTGATTAAAAAAATCTTATCGTTTGGCATTTAAAACAATATTGAGGAAAACACTGGTCCTAACAAAAGATGTCCTGGATTTACTTCATTTTATTGCCTTTGAGACCTTTCTTAACCCTAAGTGCTGTCACAAAATATTCTATTTGTTTAAGAATTGATTTGCATCCACGTTGTTTCTATAGAAAGGATCTCTGACATTAAAATCATAAAGCTTTTGTGTACTAATTGATCTGCATTCTTATCTTTGTTATAGGTATAATCTCTGACCTTAGAATCATAAGGCTTTTTTTTTTTTTTTTTTTTTTTGAGACAGAGTCTCACTTTTGTTGCCTGGGCTAGCATGCCGTGGCATCAGCTTAGCTCACAGCAACCTCAAACTCCTGGGCTCTAGTGATCCTCCTGCCTCAGCCTCCCAAGTAGCTGGGACTACAGGCATGCACCACCATACTCGGCTAATTTTTTAAAATACATATATATATGTATGTTTAGTTGGCCAATTAATTTCTTTCTCTTTATAGTAGAGACGGGGTCTCGCTCTTGCTCAGGTTGGTTTTGAACTCCTGACCTTGAGCAATCCACCCGCCTTGGCCTCCCAGAGTGCTAGGATTACAGGTGTAAGCCACTGCACCCGGCCGATCATAAGGCTTTTGTTTAAGAATTGCTTAAGATGTTTTTATGATGCTGAGTTCCAGTGGAATGGCTTATGCCAAGTAGTTTGAAGACTCCCACAGAGGAGCCAAATCAGCCTGAGAATGCAGTTTCTTCAACTCTGGATCCCACAACTTCACCCTGCACTCTTCAACCAATTAATGATCCCCTCACATTGGCCCTCTACTCAGCCTAACCCTTTAAAATTCCTAGTCCCAAACTTCTTGGTGAAGTAGATTTGTGGGTTCCTCCTATCTCGTCATTCTGCAGTCTCATGATTAAACCTCTTTGTCTGCTGCAACCCTGTCTGAGGTGTACTGACTTCCCACGCATCAGGCTGTGAACATGATATGGTTAAAATTTGTGGTAAGCTAGTCAAGGGGCGCCTCGTGGGCATTTGTGCAAGTCTCAGTGTCCCCTCGCCATCTCTGCCAGCCAGGAGAGGAGCCCGAGTGGCTGCCTCGTTCTGTTGAATCAGGGCCTGTCTCTGAAGGCTTCCCAGCTGGTGGGGCATTGCTGCCCTTCAGCACACAAGGGTGCTCGCAGCAGAGAAACAGTTTCTGGATTTAGAGCGTGTCTTTGGTGAGTGCTCTCAAGAGCATCTGGCACCCCTTTCCCTTCTGATTTGTTGGCCTGCTGGAGGTCTTGTGGCCTCTTTGGACATCTTGTTGATCCTCCCTCCCCTTTAGGAAGGGCCTTGTTTGAGAGGACTTTGCCTAATTGGAAGGAGAATAAAGGACATTGTCCAGGAAAAGTATTCTTGGGCCCCTTTGGGTCTCAGTTCTGGAATTTGACTTTGAAGCTTTGATTGTGAGCCTTCATGTCTTTGTCTTGTCTCAATTGCATGGGAACCCCAATGACATTGCTAATGGAAGACCAGTGGGCCTTACTCAGGTAACTGTTTTCTGTTCGTTTTGTGAGTTACATTCAGTGAGCCTTCAAGCAGTAGCCAGTGGCAGCTCAGCAGCCTGAATTCAGGTGACTCTCTGCTCTCTTTGAATCATACTGAGTGACCATTTGCTAGACTGCCTGCTGGAAGTCATCCCTCCCACCTTGAGTGGGTCAAAGGTGCCACACGCTAGAGGAAGTAAGCCGGAGTCAGGCCAGGTTAAACTGGGGTGCTGCGCAGAGTAAATGGTGTCTTCATTTTTGCCCATGTGTAGTGTAATTTTGTCTTAGCTGATATGAGAAATGCTGATCCAATTCCCCAAAGCTGCCTACTGGGTTGTGTCTTACAGAATTGGGTAGCTTTCACCTACAAACTCATAAAAAGAAAGAAAATGATTTTCTTTTGTAATGCAGCCTGAACCCAGTACCCATTAAAATATGGAGAAAAATGGCCAGAACATGGTTATAAGCTTCTGAGCCCTGTTGAGGAGGTAATCACTCTGTGACTCTCCCAAGTATTCATGTTAGATGAATTTATATGCCCTTTCTCCAATGAATATGGCTTGTGTGATATTTCAGTAAAACTTCAGGGGCCAAGGGCTTTCGCCCTAAAGTCTGTTGCAGTGAGCAAGGTGACCAAAACTTTGCTCTTCTGGAAGCCGCAGTTGAAGGTACCCAGGAACCTGACATGATGGCAACTGAGTAAGAAATTTTATTTTACCAGTCAGGCTCCCAACCTCTCTCTGTGTGTGCAAATTGGTTGTTGAGTAAATGGCAAAAAACAATATTGTTTGTCTACTCTGCAAGGTTTTGATTAATGGGAAGAAAGGATTTTTGTGGCCAGCCTGGGGGCGGTGACTTTGGTGTACTTCTCGGTACTGTGTATATCGTCATAGTATTCAATCCCTTCCTCCCAGAAACAGTCTTCCCTCTGCCTTTGTGATTCTGTGTTCTGTTATGAAGACAGGCACTACCTGAGTTTCCCTCCCATCTTGTTTTATGTCCTTGAGAACTTGACTTGTGACCAAGTTGGAGCACTCTCTCTTGGTCTCCACCTTCCAGGGAACATGTTTTTTGGTCACATCAGGAGACCAGTCTAACAATAGTTGGGAATCTGATCCTCTTTTTGCTCCAAATGGGTTAAGCTCTCAGGACGTTTGTCTGTCTTAGCCTATTTCCAGAAGTATAAGGGCGAACTGTGGGATTGCTTCTTCTCCGAAAAGACTGCTGGAGTCAATTGCTGTCGGAATAAGAACACTCTTGGAAATGCAGTTTCTCCATGGCCAGAGGACGGATCCTTTAAGTTAGACTCCTAAGTTAAAACAAAAAATATTAGAGATCTCTTATTTGTACCTTATTTGTATTTTAGGGAAAGATCAATTTAAAAAAAACACATATAATAGCATCATGGCTACCCTTAAAAATGCTCTCGACAATATTAAATGGAAATTATCTGACCTAAAATTTGGTTAAAATCCTTTATATGCTCCAACTACCTGCTTTAGACCCCTGAAGGAGTACCAGTGGCGGCTGCTTCATCTTGTAGTCTGGTAGTTAACACTGTGCTTCTTCACTGCTGTGGCCTGGGTTTGAGTCTCAGTCAGGAGCCATGTCTTCTTGGTTCAATATTAGTGTGACTTATGACTTTTTGGGGTCCCCATTTGTTATTGATCCTTTTCCCTTCCATTAACAGGTTTTGCTTCCTGTTTTCTTCCATCTGTGGGATCTTTGTGTGGAGAGGGTCAACTGAGAAGCCAAGACCCTAGACAATATGACTGGACAGGATATGAGTTGACTACATTTGTGACTAGCAATGCTTTCCTTTCTTTGAGCTTTTGTGGAGATGATAATGGATCTTATGAGCAGAGCTTTGAACCTTTTTGGAGACACCATGTATATCCTTGGTTAAGTTGTAACTGTGGTTAAGGCTTATTGGTTTCAGTTGGGAGGGTACCTTTGGTAAATATTGGCTTTGGTGAGTCACTTGAGAGAATACATTTGGTAACAAAAAATAAATTTAAAAAAAAGAAGAAAAAAATTAAAAGTCAGAAATATCAGCTCTCGGCTGGGCATGGTTGTTCATACCTATAATCCCAGCATTTGGGGAGGCCAACACAAGAGAGTCATTAGAATCCAGGAGCTAATATAAGACCAGCTTGAGAACTCATCTCTATAAAGAAATACAAAAAGTATCTAGGCATGGTGGCCCATATCTGTAGTCCCAGCTACTCAGGAGGCTGAGGCAGGAGGATCACTTGAGACCAGGAGCTTAAGGTTGCAGTGAGCCTTGGTGACACTGCACTCTAGCCCACGTAATAGCATGAGACCCTGTCTCAAAAAAAAAAAAAAGAAAGTAAAGAAAAAAGAAATATCAACTGTTTGTGTCAGCAAAAATATCTGAATAATATGATATTTGAAATGATTTTTTGAAAGAACTCTGTAATCAGAAGTCAGCTTAATCAAAATCAAAGGCTGATATTGAAGCTGCACTGTGAAAGAGACAAAATTGTGTGTGGCTGGGAAGTCACTGGCCAGAGCAGTTGTTAACATTAAATAGTTACGGAGTTTCCAGCTCGGGATGGCTGACTAGATACAACTAGTGCACGCCTCTCCCATGGAGAGGAAAGACAATTAGGGAGTAGATTTTCGTGCTTTCAAGAGACAGTTGAAGAGAACATACAAATTCCAACAAGGAAATGACAGAACCTGAAAAAGTGGAGAAGAGCAAGGACCAATATCCTGTGTGGCCAGGATCAGCAGGAACATGGGAAAAGCTCCCTGACGTGGGGAAAGGCTGAGTGAGAGATTTCTGCGTTTCCATCCTTCTGCTAGGGACTTTTCAACTCCTCGCTACAGGGGAACCCCTAAGACTTCACAGGGCCCTGGACACTGTGGCGAGGAGCTCCCCAGAGGGTGTGCAGAAGCATTGCTGAAACTTGGGTTAAGCCCTAAAGTCTTCCCACCCCTGAGCAGCAGCAGAGTCCCACAGGCTTTTAAGCCCAGGCCACTCAGAGAACACAGCACACAGAGGTCTCTGTCCTGCTCTGGGGCCACCACCTACACCACTGCAGCCACAGCTGCAGGGCCACTGAGGGAGCATGGGGGAGATTCAGGGATTCTCATGCACTGCAGAGACAGAATCTGCAGCTGCCACCGAGGGACGTGGGGGTGAGCAGTCTGCAGCCTTGGCAGCCTGCCTCCACTGAGAGGGGCTTCCCTTCTAGGGGTGGAGTCTGAGGCACAACTGCCAGTCTGCCACCTAAGCATTTCAGCGGCAGCTGCAAACAGTCTAGGAGCCCAGCACACAGCAGTCTCAGCTGCCTCCTCCACCTCTGCCGCTACAGGGCCAGGGTGAGTGCTGTGCGTCTGGGTGCTTTTGTGACCCTGAAGGGCAGAGACTACTGTCATTGCTGAGGGAATTAGGTGCACATTGCTTGTTTGCCCCATGGCTGCCTGCTCTGCTAATCTTGCCTAGTGAGGCCTGCCCTGCTAGTGGCCGGCTCACAGTGCACCCACTCCTCCCCTGCCTGAGCACTCTTCTGCCCCAGGAGATCACCCCCCTCCCTATGACAGCCGGCGCCTGGACCGGGGAGGCCAGAGGACAAGTTACCAGTCCAGTCTCAGCCTGGTCCTTCCTCCCCCTTCCCCGGGAATCAAGCACACCATTCAGGGCCCTGAGGACTGTCCACCCCCACTGGCAACTGAACACTCCCCAGTGAGTTTGAGGTTCCGTTAACCAGAATTGCCAGCAGCACCACTGAGGGGCTTCACCTGCAGGAGCTAAAAGCAGGCACCTCTCCCTCTCTGCGCAGAGTGGCAGTGTTCTCTGCAGGGGAGAACAGTTGAGCTGCAAAGCTGTTTTGAACAAGGAAGGAGGTTCTGCTCCAAAACCGTTTAATAGAGAGCTATCAGAAAGGCATTGTGTGCAGGACCTCAGTGACAGTGTGGCCTGGTGACACATGACAGGGTTTAACTGAACTGGGAATCATGAACTGCAGGGCAGCAACATGACAGGGAAGTGGATCACTTTTCTACAACAGACTAGAGACAAAAGAGAACCTGTCACATCAACCAAAGTTCAAACACCTACCCACCAGCTTCTGCTACAGCTGGATCTTACATGCAAGTGCCACCTACTGGTCCTGTGTGTCAAAATGCACAATCCAAGCTAATACCTGCAGCCAGAAGGGTGCAGTGTTGGAGGACAAGGTAATCTTCCTAAGGCCTCTGTAATTCCAGTACTGCAGAAATAATCCCATTTAAAATAGCCCCGTTAACAAAAAAATCCCATTAAAGAGTGGGCAAATAACATGAACAGACATTTTTCAAAAGAGGGTATACAAATATCCAATAAACATATGAAAAAATGCTCAACATCACTAATAACCGGGGAAGTGCAAATGAAAACCACAATGAGATATCACCTTACCCAAATCAGAATGGCCATCATTAAAAAGTCAGAGAGCAACAGATGTTAGCATAGATGTGGTGAAAAGGGAACACTTGTACACTGTTGGTAGGAATGTAAATTACTACAATCTTTATGGAGAACAGTATGGAGATTTCTCAAAGAACTAAAAGTAGATCTACCACTGGATTCAGCAACCCCAAAACGTGGTATCTACCCAAAGGAAAAGAAGTCATTATATCAAAAAAACACCCACAATGATACATTCTTCACAGCACAATTCACAATTTCAAAGATATGGAATCAACCTAAGTGCCCATCAAGTGAGGACTGGATAATGAAAATGTGGTATTTATACACCATACAATACCACTCAGCTATAAAAAAGGATGAAATTATATCTTTCCAGCAACTTGGATGGAACAGAAGGCCATTATCCTAAGTGAAGCAATTCAGGAATAGAAAACCAATACCGTATGTTCTCGCTTATAGCTGGGAGCTGAGCTATGGGTACACAGGGGCATGCAGAGTGGTAGAATGGACACTGGGGACTCAGAAGGAAGTACAGGGGGGAGAGGGGAGGAAAACTACCTATCAGATGCAATGTATACTATTTGTGTGATGTACCCACTAAAAACCCAGACATCATCACTATACAATTCTTCCATATAAACAAAAAACACTTTTTGTACCCCTAAATCTATTGCAATATACATTTTTTAAAAAGTTGTGACTATAGTGGCTACTCTTTGTGTGTTTAGATAAGAGAGGGCATTTTTTTAAACACTGAGAGAAATTTCTTTGTAACAACGTACACTGTGAAAGCATTACATGGCCTGGTGTTGTGGTCTTTCTCTCTTTTTGTGGACCCAGAATTCACTGTTGGCTGCAGCCTGGGCTCAGTCATCAAATTGAAAAACAGACTGAATTAAAAAGCCACCTATCTCGCCAGGTTGATCTCCAAAATATGACAGTCTGACATTTAGCTGGTTATTTTTAAAAGATTTTTGTATTTTCACTAGGCTCATCTCTATGTGTCCTTATAAAATCCTCTGATGTTGTGTTACCTTGGAAGCCATTTTTTATCTTTTTGTGACATACCCAAACCCCTTTTTGAAAAATCTTAGATCCATTCTCTCTCTCTCTCATACTTTGGCATTGACCACATGAGACAGATGAACTTGAAACTTTCCATTCACAGAGGGAAAGTTTAATTCTCTTATGATTTAAAACTAGTAAGTTTTACCAGCCTCATGTCCAAAATTCTAAATTCAAAACTATAAAGGCTTTGTGTCTATATCTTTGTATGTACCTGTATATATCTGTCTGTATACTCTACTCACAGTTGAGGGAAATAAGGCCAAGTTCTGTTAAAGTTGATTTGAATTTAGTAACCTTCTATAACTAAGATAGTTTTAAAATTGTTGGTAAATTAAAATAGAAACATCTTCAAAATTTAATTTAGACATTTTTGCCTAGGACTTCTGGTCTCACAGGTTTATACTGTCTCTGGTAAATGTTTTTGAGCTTATAAAGTCATGCAGATGTTTTAGTTCAGATGTTTTCAAGGTTGTGTTACACTAAAAGTAAAGCAATAAGGGATAAAACTGAATAGATACAGAGAGTTGGGAAAGAAATAGAATGAGAAAAATTCTAAGAGGTTATGAAATGTTTTATGGACATCTTATTTTTTGTCATCAAAGCTGATTGCGATTAGATGGATCTGTTTAAGGATTTATTAAAATTAGCTTTAGTATTAATAATACACTAATATGTAAGATAAATTTGGTTTTATCTTAAATCTTTGTGTCATATTAACAAGTGATAGTAAAATATTTTTGTTTATTTTTTAAGTAAATTGCAAAAATAATTAAAAAGAGGGAAGAGGAGGGGGCGGGTATATA